CCTCCTCCTCCTCCTCCTCCACTGGAGCGTCCTGAGAAGAATAGCTGCTCAGACCTGTGTGTGTGTGTGTGTGTGTGAAGCTGCTCGTTTCGCCGCAGCCAATGTCAACAGCTGAGTTCCAAACTTCCCATGAGCCTTTGCTCTACCACACTGTGTGTGTGTGTGTGTGTGTGTGTGTGTGTCCTTTCTCTGGAGACTTTTTCTCACTGTGTGTTTTTGTGTTAACACTGATCACGTACCAACACAGGGACACTCACCAGTATGTGTGTGTGTGTGTGTGTGTGTGTTACGTCTCTTGTCTCTGTGCAGAAGTGAGGACCAATTACCTCCTCTGTCCTGGTGCACCTCCTCCTGCACCTCCTCATTTCTCCTTTCATGTTCCTCTGTTGCTGCCTTTGACCTTTGACCTCTCAGTGTTGAACAGGCAGCTTCACTTTCTCATTTCAGAATGTGTATGTGTGTGTGTGTGTTTTTTTTGGCTAAATTAAATCACACACACACATACCTGTGACAATCACTAAATGAGTCCATTTTTCTAATCACTTTATTTTGATTGACAGCACTGCAGCAGTGAAGCCCCGCCCCCTCAACCTAAGACAGACCTTAGTCCTTAATCCAGACTGGACCTGGTCCACGTTGGTCCTGGACTGAGGTGTGATCTGTAGTGGGCGGAGCTTAACCATGTTTCTGGTTTTAAACCTCACCACATTAAAAGTCTGCTCAACAGCTCCCTCTCTGGCCATCACCTCCTCCTCCTCCTCCTCCTCCTCCTGGGCTCTCAGCTCCTTCACTGAGATGAAAATCAGATCCGTCTCCACTGGTTCATTTGCTCTGATTCAACTTTGATTTCCCCAGACTGAAGGGTGTCCTGAGAGAGAGAGGGAGAGAGAGAGGGAAATAAAAATCAATGAAGAAACTGAAGAGAAGAGAAATATAATGAAAATAAAAAGGAGAAAAGGTCAGGGGGTCAGGTCAGGGGGTCAGGTCAGGGGGTCAGGAGGTGAGGAGGCCCAGTGTGATCCTGCTGTTGCCATGGAGACAGAGTCAGTGTAAACAAAGATGAGGAGTGAGTGGTTGATGAGTTAATGAACGGTGACTCAGTAACCAGTTAAACAGCAGTCATTGACGTATCGACCAATCACAGAGCAGACTGATCAGCTGGGCCAACACCGGTCCCCTGACCCCAGGTTGAACATCCAGGAATCTACAGCCGCCAATCAGTGCTCAGGACTGTTGTACAGGAACTGAGCCGCTCACCGCAGCTTTGGCCACACTGGGTCATGTGACCTCCTGGTCAGAGAAACAGACGACTGTCTGGACCAGAATCACACACACACACACACACAGACACAGACACGTTTTCATCCTCAAACCATGAATTATGAATAAAAACACAGACGTTTAAAAAAAACTTCATCAAGGCCAAAAACCTGACACACACACACACACACACACAGACAGGCGGCCTTGTAGCGAAGCCGCAAACGTGTGTGTGTGTGAGTGAATAAACCACACACACACACACACACACACCGACTGGTCGTCTCCATTTTTCATTTCTTGAAACTTTGATCTTTGTTTTATCCGTTGTAGTTTTAACGACTCCTGAGGCTCCGCCCACTTCACCGTCGCCCTCTGCTGCTGTTAATGAAAACTGAGACTCATTAAAAAGTGAGAGAGGCGGCGGGGGGGG